TCCTGTTACATTTTGCTTTGTGTGCGAGTGTCAACCAAAATAGTTTATACATTTTAACAAAAAACAAACGAACTAAAAGCCTTAACAGAATACCAAAATTTCTAACCTCAACCCCAGCTCAAAAACTTTGTTCGTGGCCTGTCCGATAAATAATTCAGCGTTTTTTGTCACTCAGAAATAAGGGTAATATTGAGAGACATATTGATGACAAATATGCACGGGTTTTCGATGAAAAGGTAATATGCAAATTAAAGGTTGTTTCTGCTGCAGGCAGAGAATATGTCAGCCCACTATAACACATAGTTGCCATGGAAACATGGCGCAAGGTTTGATAATCCATCGCATTGCAATTGCACATTGCTGCAAAGCTACGAATAATTAATAGAAGAGAGCATAAGTTATCGTATGAAAATGTTAAAGAAATTAATCTTTAGCAAAGCCTTTGAAATACTTGAAAGCCGTCTTGATTCGGTGAATTTTCATATCAAACCTAACACGTATGTTATACAAGAATCTTGTTATTGAGAGTAATAGGATATTTTCCTTTTAATTGAATTAGGGGCAGTAATAATTGGAAACTATAAGCCTTGCGCGACCTTCTGTATTTATTTATGGACTTAATTAAATTTGATATATATTCGTATTCGCTTTCCTTGATATACTCGTATTTCCACGAACGCCAACCGCGTCGAATGTGAAGGAAATGCAGCTAATAAGCACACAGAATTAAAAGATAATAACATCCTACGCAATTATAATACCCCAGAGATACGAGGATATTGAATAAAGCTTTTGCTGCGATTGCAGTGGAAAATCACAAACTGCTCTCTCGGAAAATGTCATTGAAATAGAAGGCAAGTGCGGTGGCATTAGCTGGAAATATGAAATGGACTTATTTCTGAATTTGAGCAACGGAACAAAAGCTTTACGGTTTGACCTTTGGCCAGAGTTCCGCTACCTTCGCTCTCCCCTGGCCCTTATTACTGCTCTTGCGTTTGTAATTGCAAGAGTGACAATTACGTGGCACAGGGTGAGCGATAGAGGGAGACAGAGCGAGACAGTGGGGGTGATTGCGCTCATATGAGGTTCGACTGTAATTATCACAGTATCGGCTATCAGCTGGCTGTGAACTTTCACATTTATCACATGGCTCTTGCTTTCAATTGCAGCGGCAACGCGGCGTATGCGTTATGTGCAACAACCTTGATTAACACAGCAAGGAATAGGCTCTGACCGAGTGCCACTGTACGGACTTCACGTGGCCGGTCGCTTTTGCTTTTGCTGACGGCAACTTGTTATTATTATAATTTATAATTTATCCTTGCGCCTATTAAACTTGAACTGTTTGCCTTTGGGGCTTATTATTTTATTTATTTACGTTGCTTTCACATTTTTGGCTGCGTTTTGCTCTACTGTATTACAAAAACACACGCACGCACACACTCACACACGAAGGCGCACACAATGGGATACTGGGAAATTTTTCTAGTGCCTTTTCTTCCCATTGCTGTCTCGTTCTCTCAATCCCTTGCTTTAGTTCTCTCTCTCTATTTTGCTCTCTCATTTCGGGCTTTTGCGCGCTGTGGTGGATTCCCAAACAAACTCTCGCCAACGGCAGCATACCCCCCACGCACACCATCCCCCCGCCTTCTATCGTATTTTGGCAATGCGCATCGAGTTGAAAAAGTTCGACTACCCAGTTTCCTCCTACCCACAAAGAAGAAAAAGTTTTGTTTTCCAAAATCAGCCTACGATTTGATCAATTGTTTTGCGCTTGTCTGGCAACTCTGTCAGCGTGCCCTGTTCCTGTCCCTGTCCATGTCCTTTTGGGCCATTCAGCGTCAGGTCCTGCGCCAGTTCGGGCGCATAAAATAGTCACTTAAGCCCCGCATTGCTCCCAGCGCAGCCATCAATTTTGCATGGATATATGTCGCTGTTATTGTCTGTGCTCCAGTTGCTGCTGCTGCTTGTTGTTGTTGTTGTTGTTGTTGTTGTTGTTGTTATTGTTGTTGTTTTTGCTGCTTCTGCTGCATTTGCTGCATTATCAATTCATGAGCCCAAGGAGCTGAGCTGCGAACGACACAAGCTATAAACACCCAGAGAACTGGATTTTATCTCGCCTGAACCAGAGGGGTTGCCTGTGCGCTGCGGCGGGGAACGCAAACAAGCATCAGAATCAGCATCAGGCGTCTTGCTGCGTCGTATCCCATGTGCCGTCAGCTGCTGTTGTCTCTCGGCTAACCATGTTCCAGTTAAATTGTCCATGGGCATTCGGAGTTTGCGTGCAGATAAGCAAATATTTATGCAGTTATTTTTAGCGGACCATTAAACTGCATGCAAAGAAACGTTTCCAGCTACTTAAATAACGAACAGCCAGTGTTGTTAAATTCTTAAACTGTATTAATATCTATCGATGACATGAACATGAACGTGAATATCTAATGAAGCTCTTGACAACTTAATTAACGTTGAGTTTTTCTGTCTGCTCTGTTTGCTTCCATATACAGACTGGTTTACCATTGTTAATTCCGATTAGATAGAAACACATAAGTAGTATACTACTATTACTTTAATATGGGGCCCCACAAATGCATAATGCATAATCAGGTCTTTAAGGCTTTTCCGTTGGCATCTGCTTCGTTGCCTCTTTGCCTATTCATATAACTTTTCATCGACTCGATAAAAGAATACGGTGAAAACTCTCCTAACAAACACTACAAACATGCGTACACCCCTTCTGGTCGACCATATAACCACACGTTTAATCACTTCTGTCTTTTCTTGAGCAGATTTTCTTTTGGTATAATAATATATTCTTAAAAAGACATCCTTACTCCAGCTCCTAAACAGGCCAGCTATCGATTATGAGAAACATATTCGTACTACGCGGGCACCAGAAGGACCTACGTTCATAATTTCAAGTCATTAGCCCTTATAGGCTTTGAGATGGAAGCATTCAAACTGACGGATATGACTAGATCGACTCGGCTATTGATGCTGGCCAAGAATATATGTACTTAATGGGGTCGGGTTCATTCTTCCGCCTGTTACACACTTTTGCACGAAGCCAATTTTTTAAGCCATTTTCGATGGGTTCAGGCTATATCAAAATGTGTTTCATGGAAACTTTTGTTGTGAAGCAACTTTTCCATTTGATGTGCTGCACTTTATCATGATGCTCTTCCAGATTTAATGTTTGACGCGCTCTGCGCCACTCCAAAATGTCTGGCACAACAGTTGCTGGCACATGAGGTCGATATCCTTTTAACATAAGACAATGTTCACGGCATATTGTCTCGGCTTATGCTTATGTTTTTCCTACAGCTGTTGACGAAGTCATATTCTCTTTTCATTTCTCTATCTCTCTCTTTTTGTGTGCGTCTTTCTCCCTTTCTCTCTAATCCATTGCCTAATGGCTTTTCACTTAATCGCTGTCTGCTCGCCATCTACGAAATAAGTTAATTCGAAAGTGCAAAAGCCGCGTCTCAATCTGCATATAACACTCACACACACACACACACACACACACATAAAGAGCGATTCACACTGCGGAAATGGGGCGCATGAAAGGCTCTTGCTGCAGTTTCCTTATCCGTCATCTATACGATTACTTCCCCCAATATGCTGCACCCCTGCTGCCACGCATCCAACGCGCTCTCGCGTAGAAGTGGATGCTTCCGCTTGCATTTTTCAGTACTGCGCGCCCCAACGAACAAGTTTGTCAACACAAATAGCCCCGCCCCACCCCGCCCAGCTCCGTTGCACGCTGCAGTCCTCGCATTTCTCTGTATGTGTGGGTGTATGTGCGTGTGTGAGAGGGAATGTGTGTGGCCTCGTATATATTTTCGCATTTTGTACGTGCGTCACCGGGTCAACCACAACGAACAATTTGACACCCCTCGCATCTGCACCTGTTCCCAGCTGCACTGCTGCTCCCCGCTCCCCGCCTCCCGTCCTAATATACGGGGCGGCCCCTGATGTTCCTGTGGCATGTTGTTTGCCCTGGCATGTTGATGGCCATAAATACTTACCGTTACACATGTTTGCATTGTGACCAACCTGTACGCCCTTTTACCGTCCCCACATCCAGCCCAGCCTGGCCTCCTGTCCGATCTCGTTAAAATTCTCATTTCCGTTTTCGACGCAAAATTGTTTATAAACATACATATATTTCCACTTTGGCAGAATTCATTTCATTTCGAGTTTTAATTAAATGGCTCACACAAAAAAACTATTGCCTACTTTTCAGCTGAAATTAGGATTAACGTTTCAGACGTGCCAGCCAAACACAATTTCATTCTGATCAGCTTAATATTCCCAATAACAGTTGCTCTAATTGCTGTACAAAATGTTTAAGTGTGAAAATTAAGTGCGACTTAAATATTTAAATTTTTTTCATATACAAGTATAAAGATTTTACAAAGAAAACATTCAGAAAATTAATATTAATTTGGTATTTTTTACAGGAAGCAATAATTAAATCCATTTTCTGATATAGTTTTGTTATAAGTATGACTTAGCACTAGGTGAACTTAGTTTGAAGGTAGCCTTGCTGGACTTTATAAGCTCTAGTTAAGGCTTAATTATTTAATTTTAATTTTAATTTTATTTATATCGTTTAATTTAACTTGGGAGCACAGTTCGTCTAGCCTGGTTAAAGCATACATAAAATGCACTTCAGTGTGCATGCTCTACTTTTGTTCTTGCCTGTCGCTTGCAATTCACAACTGATTAAAGCTTGAACAGAGCAATAGCAAAGTCTGCTGATGAGAGAAGCGGGATATATCTAAAATAGTTATACATATTAACTGCGTTTTGATGTTTATACCTTTGTTGTTTTTGTTTTTGATTTCTTATATCGTAACGAAATAATGAAATTGCTTTTAATTAATGTACTCTAATAATAATACTCTGCATTTTCTCTATTTTCACTTCTTTCTCGCTCCCTTTCTCTCTCTCTCTCTCTCTATCTGTCTCGCTCTCTATCTGTATCTCTGCAGTGCTGACCACTGAAATTCTTTTGAATAAATAACGCATGCTAATCGCTAAATGGCAAAACAAAGATGCCTTCGCCTCACACACCACTACAAGAAAAACAACGCCAACAGCAGCAGCAACAACAACAGCAGGTGCAACAACCATTTGGACTTCAACAGGCAACGCAGACAACACTTCAAATAGCCACAACAATAACAACAACAAAAACAACAACAAGGCCAGACAGCGTTTCAGAGCGCTGACAAAATGAAACAAAAGCAAAATCGAGCCGCAGTTAACAAATTTTGCTCCTAATATGAAGGCGATCTAAAAATACCAAAAAAAAAAAAAGGAAACTGACCTTGAAGAGGTCAAAGTGCAGCACACACACACACAAACACACACACGCACACGCACACAAATACACACATACATTATCACAATCTCATACAATACAACACACACACACACACACATCCACATCTGAGCGAAGGGAAACTGCAGAACTGATCAGCGCCATTAAAATTAAAAAGTTTCAACGAATTTCTAAAAGCCTAAAAAAAAAGATTAGAAAAACAAAAGAAAAATAAGCCAGCAGAACCGACATCTTATAAAGTTCTTAAGGAAACACAAAAAACTAAAAAAACAAATAGTAAAAAGTTAAATTTAGAAATTTGCTCTGTGATTTTCTATCAGAATGGTTTAATAATCCAAATAAATTTAAATACAAATAATTATAACAAATTAAATATAATATTTATAAATATATTGCCTAAATGCATTCAAAACCAAAAATTATTTAAATATAAAAAGAGAAGCTTTAAAAAATTCCCAACAAAACCAATATAAACTCTATAAAAGAATAATATTTAATTATATACGCGTTTACAAGCGATTTATTGACTATTTAATGCAACCATAATTAGTTTTTATGTGAAAAACCAACGAAACATAAGCCGCGGCCCACAACAACTACATTCCAGAAACAGTTCCACAATCAGTTCCAATTGCAGTTTCAGCTGAGCGCTCTTTAGCCATGGATGAGATGCCAGATTTGTCCCATCTGACGCCGCACGAGCGCATGCAGATTGAGAATGTGCTCATGCGGCAAAAGCAGGAGGAGGAGAAACAGAACGAGATAATGCGGTGAGTAGCTGATAACAGTTGATAAGGCCCCTCGCCCCTTGTGCCCGTTAAGCCGAGATATGCAAATGTAAAACCGAAAACTAACCTAACCGAATGCCAATGCACTTCCCCACAGCCGAAAACAGGACGAAGTTGTCACACTGGAAATGCAAATCCGGCAGCGCTCCGAGCAGCAAAAGAAGGCCGGCGTCGAACTGGATGCCACCTGTCACATATGCCTTAAGACCAAGTTTGCCGATGGCGTTGGCCACATTTGCCACTACTGCAACATACGCTGCTGTGCCCGCTGCGGTGGCAAAGTGACGCTGCGCAGCAACAAGGTAAGCCGAGGGGGGAAACTAGCGCGTGTGTGCTCGTGCAAGTGTGTGTGCATCTCAGCTGACAGTCTGGCAGCCGCCTGACAGCCTGACACATTTTCCAGTTGGTAATTTTCAAGTGCCATTAGACGCGGCTGTCACTCGGCGACGCGTGAAGCCAGCAAAATGACAACGAGTCCTGCTTATTTTCCAGCCATTGATAAATTGGATGACACTCTGTCGCCAGTTATACTGGCCGCGTCCTCGCTTGCCTTTAGCGGCGGCTGTTACTGCCACTGCTGCTGCTCATTCAGGCGACCCATCGCTCATACGCCCCGTTGGCCAGCACTCGCTGCCAATTGGCCAAACGCTGCGTGCACCCCGCATAAATAATGGCCATCGGGAATATCGCCAACGCTCGACTATAAAACCCAGCCAATATTTATTGGGCGTTTAGCATTTGCTGGGCAATATATGTCGGCTAGGGGCAGGGTCAATTCGACGCTTGATTTTTGACATTGGAAGACAACAACAGCAACAAAATAGCGCACAAGGCTACTGAAATTCAAGCATAAAATAGTTTTCCCATCATCTATGCCAAAGGGCACTCATTGAAGTGCATCAAGCACAAACAACTTAGGGATACTTTAAGAGCAGTTTTGTGTCCAATCTAGCATTTAAAAGTAGCTGAAAGATTAGCCCTTAATGGATAAGTAAGCTAGCTTCGAAATAAAATAATTGCTCTTTAGAAATCGACAACCTACCCGAAAGTACTTTTTATAAGCACATACCCAATAAATCAACAAAATAAAAATATTAGCTTCCCCAGAGCCGATACCTAGAGTCAAGGGATATCTTTGTATACCTCCTTAACGAGATGTGCTTTTAGCTAAAAATAAATTAAACAAGCCACGCCAAAGATTTAATACCCTTATAGACGTGAATTTATATAGGATTGTTTTAATAGAACGCATATGATACTTGTTCCGATTGAATATGTTTGGGGAATCGGACACCTAATAGTTGCTGGACTTGGTCGACATATCTTGAGATAAGTAGTTTGACGGTCGGAGATGTCTCCTATGCTTTTTCACATTTCAATGCAGTCTTCAAGTTTCCACTAATAGAAAAAGGCATTTTCTAAAACTATAGTTTATTATTCCACTTTCTTACCCAAGAGAACCCAGAACCAGACGGACAGATAACAGCTAAATAAAAACTGAGACTAGAATAGAAGCAGATACACAGGCTAAGGCTATATGGACTCTGATATTGATCATAAATATATATAACCTTCTGGGTCCGCAGATGAGTCTATTTATGCTTAACACATTTCATAACGAAATTAGAAGGGCCTAAAAATATGATGATAGCAGTTAACAGTTAACTTGGTGTTTCTGCAAATTCTGTTAGTGCTCAAAAACTATAATTTTTTTTTTTTAATAATCGTATCTTATATTGCAAGTTTCATTTATAATTAGATACAGTATTGCTTCACTTAGCTATATTGCAATAATATACAAAATAGTTTCAAAGATCTGGCAACACCAATTGAAGGCCTGTGTTAAGTTGGCTGCGCCAGCGCAATGCAATCAAATGTAGAACCTTTCAGCAGCGTATTTAAATTTCGCAGAATTCAATTGTAATTGACGTCTCTTGCAATTCTTGTGTGCAACCCTTTTGGGTGGTTTTTGGTGCCCTTACAGCATTTGGCACACCATTTCACAATGCATTGCATTTCAATTACACGTTTTTCAATTTTTATTTTGCCCAGTGAGCCGTGACGGGTTGGCTCTTGCCTGGGCTTATCATTTGCTGGCCACGTTGCCAAACGTTTTGTTGAAGCTTTGCCAAGATGTCACCGAGTCACACATACATAGAAAGAGATGTTTCTATATTCTACACACACACACACACACGGACATACACTGGTTTAGGTAAAAGCACGATGAGCACAAAAATGTGAAGGGAAAAAACTTTTAACAATTTTCGGCATAGAAAAGAACTCGAAATAGAATTTCAATTTGGCTTACTGACAATATCAACTGTCATTGAAATGGGAGGCACGAAATATGAGCGACATATGAACCAAATGGTAGAAATTTTGCCTCTGTTCCTGCTCATCGTTTTCATCCCCATACTCCAAATGCTCATAATCATCATAGTCCCCATTATCATCATCATCATCGTCCTCTATATGCCCAATGAGCAACCAGCTCCAATGCCACTGGGGACAACACAGGTAGAAGCTGCAGAAGCCCGCAAAGTACTCGCCACGGCCGCGCTCAATGTACGTAATGAGGTGGCAGCTGAAGGTGCTCCACAGTTCCCACAGCTTGTTGAAGTAGAAGAGCAGCCTGGTAGGCGTGAACAGCGGATGCAAGTCCAGATTCCCAACGTCCCCCTCAGGCAGCTGTTCCATGCCGCGCCCTCAACTCGAATGCCGTTGCGAATGTTTTATTCCTTGATTAAGTTCTTGTCGTTGACACTCACAGCAAAGTGACTGAGTTCGAACTTGTTTTGCTCCTGCAGGTGATCTGGGTGTGCATTCTATGCCGCAAAAAGCAGGAGCTGCTCTCTAAGACTGGCCAGTGGATCAACAAGACAGCGGTGCAACAAGATGGTTTCATCAGGCGCATCGAGCCAGATGGCAGCAGCGTAAGTGGGGCAATTGTAAACCCAACTAACCGAACGAGCCTTGCAACTAACTGACCTTTTTTCTATCCACAGGACATCTCGCAGCAGGCCATTGTGGATCCGCACGACACGACGGACAAGCGGCCCAAGCTGGAGCGCACGCGCAGCGCTGCCGAGAAAGAGAACCTGCCCATGCAGCGGGCCGGCAGCATGTTGCGGCGTCAGTACTCGCAGCAGGAGCAGCCCACGAATCGTCGCCTCTCCGTCTCGGACAGCGGCATGGACCCGATGAGTCCCGGTCAGCAGCAACAGCGCCAACGCATGCAGCCCATGACTCCGCAGCAGGCGCAGCAATACCAACTGCAGCAGCAGCAGGGCTACGGCCAGCAGCATTCACAGAGATCCGGTGCCTATCCCGAAGATGATCCGCGTTACTATCAGGTGAGCTTTCGTATCATATAGGGGTTTTGCTCCTGTGAAGTCGAAACAGTTTACCAACTCTGGTCTATAAAAAACTAGTCAGAAATTGAACGTAGATACTAGAGACTGGAGAACTCTTTATAAATATAAGTAGGTGCATATTGTATGCAGAAAAAGTTTAAGCCATAAAAGCTAGACATACCTTAATTAGTATGAGAGACTCGTAGACGGATAAGTCAAGATAAGTTCTGGTATGCAATAATATGCAAGGGTATCTCCCAGTCGAGTGCAACACTCTTGCTTTTAATTACTTTATCAAATAAAGGGATAAAGGGATAAACAGACAATGATAATGTTGTGGAACTTTTCTATAGAACTCTTTAGTTCTAGAAATGCTTTCGATTTCCTAAATAAGCTTTAGTAAGTGCTAATTTTTCTTATTAAAATACTATTTCAACATTTGATTTATTTCTTCGGAAAATGTAGGGCTTCTAAGGAATGATATAGTAAAAGGTGTTACTAAATGGAAATAAATTAAAAATTAAATATTGAAATTAACGCGTCAAGCGAACATAAATTTTTTTAGTGAAATCAAATATTAGATGATTGTAATTTCTGGGTACTTATTGCCGTAAAAACAAAATAAAAAAATTTATATCAGTTTGCTGGTACATAAAAAGAACTGAATTCGAATGAAACCGATTAAGTCGGTTAGAACTGTACAAATTGGCCAGGGCTTTGAAATAATTTGAAAGTTTGAAGAACTAGCTAATATTATTATTTTAACTTGAAAAACATTGGTTTTAATTATGAATTTCTCAATTGCTGCAGGGCGAACTGGACGGCCTTATGCGACAACATCCACATCTGGCACATCCCAGCCAGCTGCAGCAGCAGCAGGCACATCAGCAACAACAACAGCAGCAGCAGCAGCAGCAGCAACATCAGCAGCAGCAACATCATATGCCACAGCAGCAGCAGCGCCCGCAACCGCAGCAGCAACAGTACAATGCACGACAGCAACACCCACAGCAGCAAAACCAACAGCAGCAACACCAGCAGCAGCAGCAGCAGCAGCAACAGCAACACCAGCAGCAGCAGTCGTATCAGGGGATCGCGACGCACGCCCAAATCCATCAGCAGCCATCGCAGGTGGGCGGTGGCTACCAGAAACCGCCACCACTGACCCGTAATCTGACGATCAGCGGTGGCCATGCCATGGACGCCACCTCCTACAACCAGCAGCAACAACAACAGCATCAGCAGCAGCAGCGCAGAGCCCTGGCTGGGGCACAGTACGCCTCGCAGCAGCAGCGCTCGTTCAGCAGCTCCGAGGAGGAGTTCCAGAATCATTTGATGGCCGCAGAGGCGCAGGTGCAGGGGCACACGCCGAACGCTGGCAGCGATTATGACGGTGAGTTGTTGCGTTTTCTCCAATTTGCACTCCTGTATGTCGCCCTTGCTATCTCTATCGCTCTAACTGCCTTTCTTTAACTGTAACTGTTGATCGCGTTAGCGCTCGCTCGCTCTCTCTCTATCTCTCTATCTCTCTCTCTCTGTCGCTCTCTATGTATTGCTCTCCTTTAACCATTCTAAGTATACAGTCTAGGCGTATAAAAAAAATAAAAAAAAAAACATTTTCTGTTTTGATAAAAACTCTTAGTTGTTGCTGTCTCTATGTCTCTCTCTCTCTCTCTCTCTCTCTTTCTCAAACTTTCTGTTGACTCGCTCGCTAAGAATATGATAATTTTTGACACAAACAAAATATATATTTAATATATATATTTTTATATAGATAATCCTTTCAAAAAGTAACACACTGCAGCTCCCTCATTGGTGCGTTGTCTCTTCCTTTAGATCTATTGGCTTTTCCACTAACGAAATTAATAAATGTGTTTTCTTGAAGCAATATTTTCCAACACTTTCCAACAGCTATTCTCACACCATTTCAATGTTTTATTTGTTTCTTCTTTTTGTATGTATTTAATTGTATGGCTCTTTTAATCTTAACGTACCTCAAGTTAGTTTAAGCCAAGATTTAAGCTATCTGTAAAGTTGTATACTAAAGTTAGTTAAACCTAAAGTAAGTTCGCTTTAAGTTTTGTTTGGCTGCCACATTGTGTGGCAATTTGGCCACATTCTGTTGACCCGGTTCGCGGCGCTGCAACGGAACGGCGGAAGTCTTAAATTTGCACATAATTTTTTACTGTGAAAATTGTTGGGCCAAACTGCAAACTGGAAAGTTTTCAAATGCCACAAAGGAAAATGCAAGTTGCATGCACCGCATTGCAAAAATAGAAACCAAAAGCCGCACACACACACACACACACACACACACACACACACACAGGCACAAGGGCCATACACACATTCTCTTTGCTGGGAAAACATTTGGAGGCGCTTATCTTGGGGCCACTTGACTCTCAACAACAACAGCCTCAGCCGCAGCCGTGGCAGGAGCAATGGCAACATAAACGAAATAAAATAAAAATAAATTGTTGACCGTTAGGCTAGTGAAGGGGAAGGAGAGGGGAAGAGGTACCAGCGGCGAGCAGCAGCTGGCAAAAGGACCGCGACAAGTGCCCACTTTTGCACCCTGCATACTTTTAGGCGGAGCATTTTCCTTCGTTTTTATTCTTTTGCACCGCTGCCCGTTAAATGCAATCAGCATAAATTATATGCAGCAGCATGTCTGCTGATGGGCTGGGCGGTGGTTGGTGGGGGGAGGGGGGAAGGGGACTAGGGCACAGCTGACCCGAAAACACATTTTCGGAGCAGAAAAGGCAACCACAAAGATATCTAAAAGTTGTTGGCTAGTTGCAGTTGACTGCAGTGAAGGTAGGCAGTGGGGAGAGGGAATGGTGCTTTGTAGCAACGTCTGAAGGGAGGGGGGAGGGGTAGTAAGCACTGTTTCCTGCTGCTCATGGCTCATGTTTTGCTGAGCAATGTCGCCGGCGACACTGTCAAGTGCGTTGCTGGCAAATTTATTATCCTAATTAGAAAGTTTCTTGTTGGCACTTGGCTGCAAGCCTCAATAAGCAGCCCCATGCAGCCCCGCGCCCCTTACCCAAAGTCCGCCCAAAAATTCGTCTTGTTTGGGTTGGGCCTACTGCGAGAAGCAGGCGCATGCAACATGGCGACTGGTGATTTAAAATTGTTGTACTTTATTTTTTATTGCTGCACATTAGCGTGCAAAGTTTCTGGCAAGCATGTTGCATTTGCCACGCCCCGACAAGCAGCAGCAGCGCCCACTAGCTCGACAGCAAACTAGCATATAATAATTATTGATCTCAACTTTGGTCCCGCAAAAACTCTTGTTGTTGTTGCTGTTGTTGTTGTTGTTGTTGTTGTTGGCTGTAACAGCCAAGTTTTCTGCGCCTTGCTGCAAGAAACTGTGGCATAAAATTAGGCGCAAAGTTTTCGGTCTACCCCGAGCAATGTCGATGGGCAGGCACAAAGTTGCCCAAAACTCTCGCAACTGCAATGCTACCTCAACTACTGATAGGGTACCAGCACCTCTGGGAGACCAGGCCCCCTCACTACTTATTACCCTGCCCTCTCGCCACGCTGAGATTGTTGCAGCTGATTTTGCGTGCGCCCGGTGCAGCTGCACTGACGTATTCTCTGAACATTCACCATCACTGAGCCACGCGCCAGCCAAAGTCACCACAGCCAGTCGCAGCTCACCACGGCGCTGTTCACAATAGTCTCACACGCAAGCCGTCCCCAGGCGTCATGCGTTGGAATATTCCCAGCCACAAATTGGAAAATTCCCACACAAACACAAACGGCATGCCAGACGCATGCGCTGCATTGACATCCCACCGCCTCCTCATGCCCCCTATTAAGCCCCCACACCCCCTCACCAGACTCGCTGGCTATTGCATGGCAGCAGCAGCTGATGGTGTTGCGAAGCGCGCCTAGTGTCAAATTTATTTGATTTAAACAATAAATTGTATTTCCCTTTATGAGTTAGCGAAACAACGACCTTCCGGCTCATGGGCTGTGTATTAAGTGTTGGGAGTTACATTGACTGGGTCAAGGGGTTGTGCACATCCGGTGAACTGTTTATAAAATCAACTAGTTCCAGTGCTATATTCGTATAGATCAAAGAGCTAGTTCCTTAGCATTTGAGTATCTTCGAATACAAGATCTAGTTCCATATTTAAACAAATTAAAATCTTTATTTTTCTCTTTTGAGATATAAGAATTATGGCCACAGTTCTAAGTATATATAAAATCATATACAAATATGCATATAACAATTGCATACTGAACACTTCTGGGAAATTTGAACTAAACTTCGTTTTATAAGTAAACTACAGAAAGACAAATAGGTTTATTTAGGTTTTATCACTTATGATGATTATAGGATGATGATGAATCCATTACCATAAAACAACGGAAAAAATTTGG